CCTACCCTCCATGAGCCTCGCAGCCACGAGGTAGAGCGACGCCCGCGCATGGTGGTGGAAGCCTCCCTAGAAAAATCCACGGATCGCGCCACACCACTATGGGAAAGACAAAAGGTACCGATACCGCTACTCCCTGGCCCTCTCCCGGGGTGCGTTCTGACCAAGATTTCGAGGCGAAACCAGCGGTGGCGACGAGGGCCTCCCAGGAGACTCTAAAAGGGGAAAACGGGCGTATGGGTACCTTTCCCTCCTCCGACACCAGGAACGGAAACCATGCTGAACACCGAGAAGCAAAGATGAGCGGACCGCTTGTCGAAGCAGGCCGCCATACTACCCTAATTAACGGGGCCCTGGGACACACAAATAAACAGACACAGATCACAGGATTCCCCTTAGTTTCCCATATGTTATGTAATTTTTGTTTCTCCCACCCCCACTTCCCATATTTTCCCATATCTCCGGGGGAGTCGACAATTAGCTGTGTCTGTGTGTTTGTTTTTTTCCCTCCTGACTACTGGCACCGCCTCTCGAAACCCGTGCGGGACGCGCGCTTTTCCACCGGCCGGCGGCCCGCGGGGGGTCTGAGGCCAGCGCGGGCAGACCGGGGCCCGTGGAGGTCCGAGGTTGGAGCGCGCAAGGCTCCTCCTGCTCCTCGTGCTCCTCCAGCTGCTCCTCCTCCTCCTCCTCCTCCTCGTCCTCCTCCTGCTCCTTCTCCTCCTCCTCCTCCCTCCTCCTCCTCCTCCTCCTCCTCCTCCTCCTCCTCCTCCTCCTCCTTCTTCTCCTCCCGCGCTGCCCACTGTATTGCAGTATGTTTGGCAATGCCTCCACTGGTCGCAGTTTGTCGGAAATGTTGCATGACGTCGCCCCAACAGGTTCCAGTGCCCAGCATGCCTGCGGCGCGCAGGTCGTGGGTCGTGACCGCTGCGCTGCCGGGCTGCAGCGAGTCGGGACTACGTCTGCTGGGGTTGCGTTGCAATGCGTCCGGCGCATCGCCACTTCCGCCTGTGAAAAAAAAAACACAAACACACACACAAAAAAAAAAAACACACACAGTGGGAAAAACACACACTGTGGGAAAACACACACTGTGGGAAAAGCACACTGTGTGTGTTTTTCCCACAGACTGTGTGTTTTTCCCACAGGGTCGTCCAATCGTTTTGCAGATGGCTGCACTGCACGACTAGCAGCTGCGCAGGCAGCTCCGCGAAATAACATCTCCCCACAGCTCGTGGTCGGAGTCCTTGTCGTCGACATCGTCGAAATCAAATTGACCTGTTGGGTGTGCTGCCGACGTCATGCTTGGTGTCGGAGCTGGTGGTATCTTCGGCAAACGCATGCTGACTGTTTGTTCGGCGCCTGGGGGTGATTACGATGAGTCGTAGCAGAAGTCGAACTGGAGGTACTTGTCCGACTGGAACACAGAACACATTACACTATGTTGTTACTGGGGCGTTGTGGCCACAAGGCGCCGGCCACGCAGCACATGCTGCACTACTGTTCGATACGCGCGTCGGCCCTGTGGGGCTCGAAAACGGCAGGTTCGTGTCGTGACAAACGTCGACGTTGGTTTCTGACACCGCACGGATCGTTCATCCTGGGACGCCCGCGGCTTTCCGAGATGTAACGCGAAGCGATGCATGCCGGCGGATTCCTCGCCACCGGCGGCGTTCAACCTCGAACGTCCGCGCCAGGGTCGCCGCTGCGTCGACACTGCAGACACCTACCGTGTGTAGCGTTAGGTCGGGCGTGTCCCCCTACAGGCGGATCTGGGACAAAAAATACCCCTAAATTAAACAAAATCATTCAAACATAATAGAATTAGTCAAAAAGAACAAATCAAATTCGTCCCCAGACTATTTTTCAACTATCTTTGAACATTCCTCCTGTGGAGGGACAGGCCCGACGTGAGTGCAGCATGTCTGGGGGGTGCCGACTGATGACCGCGGGCGGCCTTTCTTTGAGGGATGAAAAAAACGACCCTACCCTAGATGACAAGTGCGTGGTCTGTAAACGTCCTGGGCACTCCCGAAGCCTGGAGAGCCGCCAGGACGCCGCACATCACGCAGGGTTTACCCTGACAGCCCACAGGAGTTTCAGCGCACAGCGCCTCGTAAACCAGGGTAGGGGCGTTCAATCTGCGGGCAAAACTTGTGTCCATATCCACTGCAGCTTGGGGTGTCGGGTTCCCTTCCCCAGAAAACCGAGGAGCACTGGATATGGATGTAAAAATCAGGCCCCTACCAGAGGCTCGAATGTTATTCATATCCAGTTCGCCTCGGCCTTGCGGCGCCCCTCCCACGAAAGTCCAGGACGCCCCGGACAGGGATACGAATCTTGCCCGCACCTTCTGCCCTTGAGATCTCTTGAGCAGGGACCGACCGGCCCGGCATTCCTAGTCCTACCACGGGATGTTCTCCGAACCCCAGCGTGTTCTGAAAACAGAAACAATGTTCTTAGAACATAAGCCCGATGTGATAAAAGAAGACCGACTCCGCCAGAAATGTTCTAAGAACAGTTCGTGGAAACCACAGAAGGTTCTTAGAACATCGTTTGGTAGGGCTATAGGCGAGCCACGACGCTTCGCCACTGCTTGACCCTTCTGCCCTCGACTTGCTCGGGCCCCGCGTGCGGAGCCCGAGCGAGCCCATGGAGAAGCCGGCCACGAGCGCGACCGGGAGGACCAGCAGCGCACGCCGCAGGGCCTCGCCGCCGCACAGCGCCCACCACCTCTCGGGGCGCGCGCGCCCCAGCCCCCCCTCGGGCAGCGAAAAAAAAACTCGTCGAAGGGGCCCAGGGACACACAAAGAAATCCGCACATTTTCCCATAGCTTCTGGGTTCTTGTCCTCCCACCCACTCCCCATGCTTTCCCACATTCTCCTGGGAGTCGAGGACTACTTGTGTCGGTGTGTTTACTCCCCTCCTGAGGACGGGAGGTTTTTTGCTATTTTCGGCCTCTGGGTACCCTCACCGGCCCTCGGGACCGTCAAAGAACGACTCGGGATGAAAAACCGGCCCAGGGGAATGGGTCGAGACCTCCAGGGGCCGACGCACTGAACAAAATCATGACGTCGGGGGTCTGGGGCCCGCCCAGATCGGGCGCGACCTCCTCCCCGGCCAATCTCTCGAGCCGTGGCCAGCCGTGGCGTTCAGGAGCCCCAGAGACGCCACACACCTCTGAAACGAATGCGGCGGCGCCGCCGTCGCCCGTCGCCGCCGCCGCCGCCGCCGGTCGCCGCCGCCGCCGCCTCGACCAGAACCCGCTGGGTCCTCGGGCACCTCTGGCGGCCAGCCTCCGGGGCGCGCCCGCGGCCACGAGAGCCTCCAGGCGACGAGAGCCTCCAAGAGCGAAGGAAGGCGCCGCCGTCGGCGTCGCCGCCGCCGCCGTCGACTTCGCCGCCGCCGTCGTCGTCTCGACCCCTGCGCCGCGGCCCCCGCGAGCTCGGCCGCAAGGGCGTGGCCGCGCGGCAGACACCGCGGCAGGCAGCAGCAGGTCGCCGCCAGCACCAGGGCCGCCAGGCAGCGGCCGCGGCGGCGAGGCGGCGGCGCACAGCCGCCCGGGCGCTGGGTCCTGGGGAGGGGAGGGGGGCCCCAGGATCTCGGGCTCGAGGAGCGAGGTGCTGGAAGCTCTCCTGGGGCGCCCTCGAGGCCACGGCGGGATCCGCCTCGAAGCTCTGGCCGGGAAGGCACCCCCGCAGACGTCTGGGGCGGGGGCGGCCTGTGACACCCGGTCGGGCGCCAGGGGGAGAGGAGGTCCGACATGCACCTGGCCAGGCCCCTCCTGGGCACTGAGCTGGTTCATACGCCCTCCTGGCTTGACCACGAAGGCTTGCACACCGATGCTGGGGTCTGGCCTGGCCTCCAAAGCCTTCCCGAGGAGGCTTCGGACCCTGGCGGCCTCCGGCAACCCCTGGACGCCCAAATCTCTGGCGCCACACAGACTTTCTCAGATAATTTGTACCCCTTTCGGCTATCTCCAGGCCCCGCAATCAAAAAGGACTCGGGGCGAGTAATTGCCTCTGGAGATAAGAGCCTACGGACTGGAAAAGACAATACGCCAGAGGTCTGGGTTGACAAGGGCGCGACGACTGGTTTCCGAAAAATGCGCCAGGGCTAGGGGGCACGGGGAGGATGTAGAGGGGGGAGGAGGTGGAGAAGGAGAAGGAGGAGGAGGAGGAGGAGGAGGAGGAGGAGGAGGAGGGTCAGAGTAAACCAGCACACCTCGCTGCAATCCCATCCCGCGGCGCCTCATCAGACGCACAGCTGATGCTCATGCCTACCACGGCGGCCGCCCGCGGGGCCCATGCGAGCCCCACGACACTGCCACACGGCTCCCTCGTGACCTGGAGGGGATGAAATAGCCCGAGCCGGGTGGCCGTGTCAGACGCCTTGGCTCTGCCAGGCTAACGGTGCGGCCGATGAACGGTGCGACGTGGAACTTGGCGTCTGCAGCACTCAGCCCGCGCAGAGAAAAAAATAGATAGGAAAGCACGAGCCACACCTCTCCTACAAACTTCACGTCTGCGAAGGCGCCGCGCCGAACGAGACCGACGCGACGAGTTGCAGGACGCCGCGAGCCGCACGCAGCCACAGACCAGCCCCACCTGCAATGCCGAAGGAGTACCGAAAAACGACCATGCTGCTGCGGAGAACACCGTTGGCCCGTGCGCCGGACCCCAGAAACCTCGGCTTCCCAGCAACATCGTCGCGGCCCTGGCGGACGCACGGCGCAGCAGGAGCCCACGTGGGGACGCCACGAGGCGAACGGCGCACGAGCGGGTCGGGGGGGGGAGGGCGAAAAGGGCGGCCGTGGAGAGCTCACTCCTTCCTCCCGAAGGGCCGAAGGACGTCTCACTCCTTCCTCCCGCGCCGCCCGAGTCGCCCGCCCGCTCTGCTCCGCCGGCGGAGCCGCCGCCGCCTCACCTCCGCCGCGTTCCGCCGGCCTTCCACCTGCTTGCGCAGGAGGCGAGGGTGAAAAAGGAACTGTCCTTCGTTCTGGAACGTCTGGCGATGGTTCCAGAGCCGACTTCCTCTACGTAATGTGTTAGTTTCGAGAGGATCAGCGCGATTTAGAACACAACCTCCCCCTTCCTGTGCATGTCCGTGTCTAGACGAGCGCGTTCCACTACTCGCAGAGTAACTACTCGCAAATGGTTCGCATCCGCCGAGGAGCATGTGCGATACATTACGTCGAGGCAGGCGGTTGTTTTAGGACATTTTGCGAGTGGGCACTTTGCGAGTAGTGGAACGCGCTCGGTGAGTATAAGTTGGGGGTGCGACGCTGTAGGAGCAGAGACACCGAGCATCTTCCACGCGCAGAAATGGCACGTCGCCCTGACGCCCCGTCAGGCGTTGAGACTGATCGGATCTGTTTGACATGGAGAACCACTGAAGAGGAGGCGAGCAGCAGCAGCGGATGGAGAGAGGAAGACAGAGAAGGAAGGGGCCGGGGGGCAGGAAGAAGAGGAAGGGGGGCGGGGAGGGCACGAGGAAGAGGGGGGGAGAGCTGGAGGAGCAGGAAGGGGGGAAGGGGGAGAAAGACGAGCACAACAATGAAAGGATAATGGCGAGGCGCATGAGTATGAAGAGCAAACTAACCAATAGGACGAGGAGACTCCTCCTCCTCCTGTTTCTCTTGCTGATGAACTTCCTCCTCCTCCTCTGCATCCTCGTCCTCCCTCCGCCATCCCCTGCCCATTCGTGTATTGGATTAAACGCCGTTCGGAGAAACTAGGAAACCGTCGAAGAGAAAGCGCAACGAGTGCGAATTGCCCCCACCCGTCAGGACGATCGGCGCATGATGTGGGAAGGCAGAGACGACGCGACTCTCCACCCCGGAAGCGCATCCCCCCGTCCTCCACCCCCGTGCGCTCTCGTCCTGGGGGGCGCAGCATGTCGATGACACGCCGCCGTGGAGCACCCATCCACGTGTGATTGCTGAGCTCGACGGGCCTGTTGCCCACCACCGCCACCACCACATGTTGGAGGAGGAAGGAGGCCGAGGACGAGGAGGAGGAGGAGGAGGAGCAGGAGGAGGAGGAGGACGACGAAGAGGAGGAGGAGGAGGAGGAGGAGGAGGACCCCCTCCCCCTCCTACTTATGGTGGTGGTGGTGGAGAATGAGCCCACCTGAGCTGAGGAAGCACCGCGGCCTCCAGACAGACGCAGCGGAGCAACACGCCGACGGGCGCCCCACGGCGGCGTGTCGTTGACATCCGTGCTTCGCTCTCGAATCCAGCTTTTCCTCCTCCTCCTCCTCCTCCTCCTCCTCCTCCTCCTCCTCCTCCTCTCCTCGAGAACGGGGGATTGTGGAGTCCCTGTGGTTCCAAAGCGCGCGCGCGCGAGGCTTTCGCGCTGAGCTCGCGACTGTGTCTGTGCAAACTCTGCTCTGTGTCGTCCCCCTCCTCCTCCTCCTCCTCCGCTCCTCCTCCTCCTCCTCCTCCCTCTCCCCCTCCTCCTACCTCTCTGCCCGTTTTTTTTTTTCTCCTGGCGTCCCCCCCCACCCCCAGATTTTTTTTTCTGGGGGGGGGGGACGCCAGGAGAAAAAAAAGGAATGCGACGTGGCCGCATCTGCCCTCCCCCTAGAAGGATTCCGATTGAACGCCCCCATAAGAAGGATTCACAGTGAAATCCTCGACAGAAGGGTTCCTATCGAAACCCTCCACTGAATGATTCCTACTGAAATCCTCCACATGTGGATTCCTACTGAAACCCTCCACTGAGCGATTCCTATTGAAATCCTCGAATGGCAATGGCAATGGCAATGGCAATGGCAGTGGTAATGGCAATGGTAATGGTAATGACAGTGGTAATGGTAATGGTACTGGTAATGGTTACGGTAATGATAGTGGTAACGGGGTAGCGAGGCAACGACAATGGCAATGGCAACGGTAATGGTAATGGTAATGGCAATGACAATGGCAATGGGAATGGCAATGACAATGGCAATGGCAATGGCAATGGTAATGGCAATGGCAATGGTAATGGTAATGGTAAAGGTAAAGGTAGAGGTAAAGGTAATGGTAATGGTAATGGCAATGGCAATGGCAGTGGTAATGGTAATGGTAATGGTAATGGTAATGGGACTGGGAGTGGGAGTGGGAATGGGAACGGGAACGGAAATGATAGTGGTAGTGGTAATGGTAATGGCAATGGCAGTGGTAATGGTAATGGAAATGGAATTGGTAATGGTATTGGGAATGGGAATGAGAATGGGCATTATAATGGTAATGGCAGCGGTAATGGTAATGGTAATGGTAATGGTAATGGTAATGGTAATGGGAATGGGAATGGAAATGGTACTGGCAATGGTAATGGTAGTGGCGAATGGCAATGGCAATGGCAATGGCAATGGCAATGGCAATGGTAATGGTAATGGTAATGGTAGTGGTAATGGTAATGGTAATGGTAATGGTAATGGTAATGGTAATGGTAATGGTAATGGTAATGACAGGGGTAACGGTAATGGTACTGGTAATGGTAATGGCAACGGTAATGGTAAAGGGGGTAGCGATTGGCAATGGCACTGACAATGACAATGGCAACAGTAATGGTAATGACAATGACAGTGGGATTGGCAATGGCGATGGCAATGACAATGATAATGGCCATGGCAATGGCAACGGCCATGGTAAATGTAATGGCCATGGCAATGGTAGTGGGAATGGGAACAGGAATGGGAATGCGAATGGGAACGGGAACGGGAATGGAAATGGTAGTGGTAGGGGTAACGGAAATGGAAATGGTAAGGGTAAAGGTAAAGGTAAAGGTAAAGGTAGAGGTAAAGGTAATGGTAATGAAAATGATAATGGTAATGGTAATGGTCATGGGAATGGAAATGGTACTGGCAATGGTAATGGTAGTGGCTAATGGCAATGGAAATGGCAATGCGAATGGTAATGGCAATGACAGGGGTAATGGTAATGGTACTGGTAATCGTAACGGCAATGATAGTGGTAACGGGGTAACGGTTGACAATGACAATGGCAATGACAATGGCAACGGTAATGGCAATGGCAATGGCAATGGTAATGGCCATGACCATGGCAATGGTAATGGCAATGTGAATGGGAACGGGAATGGGAATGTGAATGGGAATATGAATGGGAACGGGAATGGGAATGGCAGTGGTAGTGGTAACGGAAATGGGAATGGTAGGGGTAAGGGTACAGGTAAAGGTAGAGGTAATGGTAATGGTAATGGTAATGGTAATGGTAATGGCAATGGCAGTTGTGATGGTAATGGTTTTGGTAATGGTATTGGGAATGGGAATGTGAATCGGAATGGTAATGATACTGGCAATGGTAATGGTAGTGGCGAATGGCAATGGCAATGGCAATTGTAATGGTAATGGTAGTGGCGAATGGCAATGGTAATGGTAGTGGCGAGTGGCAATGGCAATGGCAATGGTAATGGTAATGGCAATGACAGAGGTAATGGTAATGGTGCTGGGAATGGTAATGGTGACGGTAACGGTAATGGTAATGGTTATGGCAATGATAACGGGGTAGCGACTGACAATGGCAATGGCAACGGCGATGGCAATGGTAATGGTAATGGTAATGGCAATGGCAATGGCATTGGGAATGGCAACGGCAATGGCAATGGCAATAGCCATGGCCATGGCAATGGTAATGGTAATGGTCATGGTCATGGTCATGGTAATGGTAATGGTAATGGGGATGGGAATGGGAATCGTAGTGGTTATTGGAACGGGAACGGGAATGGAAATGGTAGTGGTAGTGGTAATGATAATGGCAATGGTAATGGTAATGGTAATGAAAATGGTACTGGTAACGGTAACGGTAATGGCAATGGTGATGGGAATGGGGATTGTAATGGTGCTGGCAACGGTAATGGTAACGTAATGGTAATGGCAATGGTGTTGGTAATCCTAATGGTAATGGCAATGGTAATGGCAGTGTCTAATGGTAATGGTAATGGTAATGGTAATGGTAATGGTAATGGTAATGGTAATGGTAACGGTAATGGAAATGGTAACGGGGTGGCGACTGGCAATGGCAATACAATGGCAATGGTAACGGCACTGGTAATGGCAATGGCAATGGCAATGGGAATGACAATGGCAATGACAATGGCAATCGTAATGGCCATGGTAATGGTAATGGTAATGGTAAAGGTAAAGATAAAGGTAGAGGTAATGGTAATGGTAATCTGAATGGGAATGGGAATGGGGATGGGAATGGTAATGGTAATGGTATTGGGAATGGGAATGGGAGTGGGAGAGATTGGGAGAGAGAGAGAGAGAGAAAGCGAGAGAGGAAATATCAGAATAATGATGAGGAGCAACGTGAAAGATCGTAACAAATCGTCTGAAACCCACAGGGACTCCACAATCCCCCGGCCTCGAGAACGCCTCCTCCTCCTCCTCCTCCTCCATCCTCCTCCACCCTCCTCCTCCATCCTCCTCCTCCTCCACGCTCCTCCTCCTCCTCCTCCTCCTCCTCCTCCTCCTCCTCCTCCTCCCTCCATCCTCCTCCTCCCTCCATCCTCCTCCTCCTCCATCCTCCTCCTCCTCCTCCATCCTCCTCCTCCTCCTTCTCCATCCTCCTCCTCCTCCTCCTCCTCCTCCTCCTCCTCCTCCCTCCATCCTCCTCCTCCTCCTCCCCCATCCTCCTCCATCCTCCTCCTCCTCCATCCTCCTCCTCCTCCTCCTCCTCCTCCTCCTCCTCCTCCTCCTCCTTCTCCCCTCTCCTCCTCACCCCCCTTTCCCCTGCATCCGCCCTTGTAGCTCGGGTGTCCACCCGGGCCCGGCGCGCAGGCACGGGCCCGCAGCGGCAGCAGACAGACGGCTGGCGCAGAGCGCGAGATCGGCGAGGCGGTGGCGAAAGGCAGCCTGCCGCTGCCCGACCCGAGCCTGCCGGCTGCGGCGGCCTCCCGACAGAGCTCTCGACCCTCTTGCGGGGTCGTTCTTCTGACCGGGGGTCGTTTTCTGATGGTCCCCCGCGGCTGGGAGGCCGAGACGGACTTCCAGAAGCCAGAACCTGCGAAAAACCTCCAGGGCGCCCCTGTTCCAAGCCGCGGCAGCCTGCCGCTGCCGACCCGAGTCTGCGGCATCGTGATCTTTCAGGCGAAACACCGCGGAGAACACAGCCACATCGCGAATCAAAGGGTCGTCACGCAAGGCGAAGGAACCGCACAGGCCAGCCTTACAGTGGACCGTGGCCTGAGCCACAATCGACAATGCAGTCGCTGACGGCAATGCAAGTGCTGATCTCCGACATCGCGATTGATTCGCAACGTGGGCCCGCAAAGGTCTGGATCCCTTCCCCAGGACCGGCATTTCATCCCGAGCCGTGTTCTGACGGCCCCGGCAGCTGGCGGAGAGCCCCTAGAGTCTAGAGGCCGAAGATGAGGAAAACCCTACCGCCGCGATGTCTGCAGCGACAGAAGGAGGTTTGGGTTCTTCCCCTTCTCCTCTTCCTCCTCCTCCCCCACCTCCTCCTCCTCCTCCTCCTCCTCCTCCTCCTCCTCCTCCTCCCTCCTCCTCCTCTTCCTCCTCCTCCTCCTCCTCCTCCTCCTCTCCCTTCTCCTCCTCCTCCTCCTCCTCCTCCTCCTCCTCCTCCTCCACCTGCCCTTCCCCCCCCTCCTCCGTAACAGCAGCTCTCACAGCGAGGCGCGGCTGCTGGAAAGCACGAATGGGCAACAAAAACCTTCGCGAGCTCACGAAAACTTCGGAAAACATCCCCCATCCTTGTAGGCTGCACGCTTATGGCATGGATACCAAGATAAGGGGCTCTGCCATCCCCCTCCCGCCCATCCGCAGCGGCTATTACCCATAAATATGTAGAATAAGCTCCTCCTCCCCAATATACTGCCCTTCCCTCCTCCGCAGCAGAATAGCTTTCGGAGGGGCGGGCTCCGTCGCGGCCGCCTGGGCGATTGCCACGGCGCTGCCCGAACGCCCATTGCTCCAAGGCCAGGGCCCAAGAACGCCTACTACTACTACTACTACTACTACTACTACTTCTACTACTACTACTACTACTACTACTACTACTACTACTACTACTACTACTACTACTACTACTACTACTACGACTACGACGACGACGGCGAGTACTACTAC